ATGTAAAAGACTGGTTAGTTCGCCCGCTTCCTGTCTATGGGGCCTTACATCACCGGGAAAACGGGCCAACGCATCGTTAGTCGGATAAAATACTATTTTTTGCTCTGACCTCATTTTGTTTTTGTCCGTTACGTCCAGTTAGGCAACTTGTTGCAAGTTGCGTTGGCATGGGCGGGGAAAATCCAGGAAAGGGGGCACCGAGGAGCAGGCTGCCACGCGCCTCTTGCTGTGAAGCCTGCCAAGTTGGCGACATTTCTTCGGTGGTTTCGTTGGCACTTTAAGGCTTCCTACAATAAGGCGGTAGCAATGAACCGGTCTTGGTATTGGACTTCACTTTGCTTTTTTCAACTCTCTTTTCAACAGTTTTTAAACCGCCATCTTACGTCTTTTGAACCCTTTTTGCCGTTTCTATATATAGACATTTATTTAATTTCCATTTTATTTGGGTCAGGGGCAAATGATTCCTTTTTATGTTTCTCTCATTACTTAGACTGAATATATATGATTTTATACTTAAAGTTGTTGCCATTGTGTTTTTTTACTTTGTAACAGAGCTTTCTTTGTTATTTGTGAGAGCTGCGGTAGGAACATATTTATTTCTCGGCTATCAACAAATATATATATTTAAATGAAGTTATTGAAATAATATAAACTTTGTAGCCTAATTGCTTCCACCACGCCTTAAACTTTGCCTTAAATTCACTTCCCGCTTTGCGATCGTTTATTGTTCCTATTTTTCTGAACAGTTTTTACGATGTGTTTTGTTTTCGTTCGCCAACTTCCTGGAGTCGTAAACTCGGTGTCATCGTTCCCGGCTCTTGAGACCCTCAAATGCAAATAAACACTTCGCAAAACGGCATGCCAGAGTGACGGGAAATCATTCGACGGATTCAGAACCGCGAAGATGGCATGAATAAGTATGCCAAGTTCTCTTTTCGCTTACATCAGCCATCAGAAATGCCGCCTGACAACCATTTCGGTATCTGTTTTTCCTATGCATTGTTCGATTTTGCGGAGTCAGCGGAGGGCATTTGCTGTGCGAGCGATTTGTATTTTTAGGGGCAATCGCAGAATCGGCATCCGCAAGTTTAAAATTTCGGAAATGCGCGAAACAGTTTATGTCGTGTGAATCCCACAAAAAGTTGTCGCCGTTTCTCGATATTTTGAATGAAAATAGACGGGCAGAAAATGCCAAAGAGCAGCGACACTCATCAAGGGATTAGTCTGGCACTTGGCCAGAGTTTCATTCACACATAATGCGCTTATTCGGATTGATTCGATTGGATTCGAAACGGCTCATTGGCGGCATGTAATTCGACTTTTTCAATTGCCAGTCGAAACAAGAGACCAAGAGTAAAAGTGGAACGCCTGTGAAGGGCGCCAACTGCAAAATAAAGAAAAGTAATGATTAGAACAAATTTTTCAACGAGTTCCAGAATAAAATCTCTATTGACTTAATAATATTAAATAATTTAAAATTGTTCTGTAGTAAGTGAAAATTTTCTTAGATAAAAAAATTTAGTTGTTTGCTGACCGTAATTCTTAATACAGAACATTCATTACATACTTTAATTTAAAAATATTTGAGTAAAGTTTGTACAATTTAAATTCGATGCTGGTAATATTTATTTTAAACACTATGTCTTTAAGAAACAGAAATAATTGTAAAATTTAACGTAACCATCTTTGAAATCATAAAAGTTTAGTAAATAAAAAATAAAGCAGACAATATTTAAAATTAGTATGAGATCGTTGAATTTACACTGTCTCATTTGTTCAGCGTACAAAAAAAACAAATATGTATTTTTTTAAAATTAATTTTCCTTACGAAAAAAAAATTAATAACCTCCTACCTGGTTACTCTAAACATAACTATACATTTTGAATAGAACTTTTAGTAAACAAAATCTTCACCCGTTCTTACGCAGGTTTTTAAAATAAGGTATTTTCTCCTACTTTGCATAAGTTTGTTTTTGTTTTTCAATTTTTTTTACTGACGTATTTAGGCAATATATATATAACTTTTGCTCACGAGACCTTATAAATAATCCCAAACTATAACTCAACATAAACCACACTCAGACTGCCGAATGCCGAATAAATAAATAATCTTTAAATTAGCACAAAAAGCAGAAGTGAAAAAGTAAATAAATAAATGACATCACTGATATTTTTACGAGCGTTCGATGGCGGCGTTTGAACCTTAATAAACTTTGCACTTTTCTCCCTCCGCGGATTTCTTCCTCTTCGTGTTTTGGGTGCTTTTGAATAATTAAATATATAAATTGTGTGGCTTTAATTTGTTGTTCCTCGCGTGATTTTGTGCCTTCTTTTCCCACTCGGTCTAATATTTTAATTTTTTGGTGTCTGTACCTGTTTTTTTTCTTTATTTTTGTTTGTCTGCTTGGCCATGTCTAATATTATTTTCTGACTACATGCTGATAATGCCTGGAGAGATTATAACGAAGCAAAACAACAATCGCGTTCCTAATGATGATGATGCTGCCACCAGCTGTGCGTGAATGCCATAGTTTTTAGAGAGTAGTTCAAACTATCAAAATAGTATCAGAGAAATATGAGGTCCTAAATATACATATAGTAGTTAAGAATTCACTTTTAAACATTTGAATTTGTTTATTTTAACAGGCCCATTTGAATATATTAAATAGAATACATTCGTTAATTTAATTAAATTACCTTGTGGACCAATTGTATTTTAATTTAAAGTAATACAGTTCATAATAAGCACTGTGTTGTCTCGATTTCAGTTAAATGAGTACTAAAAACTCCCCGACAAACAAATCCTATTTATTATTTATACTCCCATTCACCTCAAAATAATTAAGTGTGTTATTTGTTCAAATTGCTCTCCATTTTATTATCGAATGAATTAAAATTAATGGCCATGCGAAAAACGAAGCGAATTTTCGCCCAAAAACTCCGCGTGGCCAGCAAAAACCACTACAGCAATAAAGACGCCATTGACCGGTGTCCGAAATGACATTGGCGAATAAATGTGGTTTTATTTTATTTTATTTTTCTGGCTTTTGTTTGTGCCCATAGCCCAAAGAAAGAGAACAAAAGTCACGGCATGGATTGAGTCATTGCACTCGCCCGTCGTCTGGATGCAAAGGCGAGACTTTTACTTTTTCCCGCCTTGTTTTCCCAGGCAAGGCGAGATGATATAGAAAGTCGTAAACTAAGTTCCCTTGACTCCTCCGCCTCCTCCGGCAGGTTAAGAAACTTTCCGCCACTCGTCCTTGTCGGCTGACTCAGGGGGTAAATCACAAGTTTCCCCTTCTGTTTTCGAAAACGAAACTCTCATAATTCTGTTCTGCGATTACTGCCCCCCTTCTCGTTCTTTATTGCCTTGCCCAAGCCGACTTCCACTGACTTTAATTATTTTGCAGGCCGCAAATCCATTGCCTACATCCGAAATGATAATATTCCATTTCATTTAAATGAAAGGCATTTCGGCAAAAGCATCAACAGAGTGATGTGTTAATCATTAAAGTGCATTTTTTATTTCTGTGTTTTATTTTTGTCTTATTTTGTTGATATATACTGAAACCAAAAAATATCATCTGCTGAAAAATGGAAAAGAATAATATAAACAGGAAAGTTGAATATGTAATCACATACGAGCTTCAGTTTTGTTCGTTGTAATTGTACTAGCATGCATTTTTAAAAAATGCAGAATGCTAATGCTAATGAATTTATTGTTTTGTTACAGCCTATCTGCATTTAATATTTTGTTGGTTATTTTTTACACATACAATTATTTAATTTCTTTGTCTTTTTGGGTCTTAATAACATTACTGAAAGGCATTTACTATAAATGACTTGTGCAACCCCTATGTGGACAACCTTAAATAAATTGCTTTCAAATGACTCATGACTCCATTATATGACATAAGTGTAACTATCCTAAAGCCACATAAATTTTATGACACACCACTCCATATTATCTTGCCATTTCTATAATTAGAAATTATTGCGTATGTCAATTATTTTTGAAGCACAAATCGAATCCATTTCGTTTGATAAAATGAAAGACAGATAGAACAGAAAAAGATATGAACAAAAATGACATGAACCTAAAGAAATAGAGCTGACAGTTGCTTAATTTTCAATAAAATGAATCGGTTTGGATCCTAACATATTTGTTAAAAAGCGTTTTAGACTTGCCTTTTTGAAATTCATCTTGTAGGGTTTTCCACCTAAAAAATTATTTTAGTTTCCCCTTCAGGTAAGGGCTAAAAAATGCAAGAAAATTAGGTTTTAAGAATGTTATCCAAAACCAGTTTCTTTCAATGCTATATTTACTGTTCAAGAATTTATTAAAATGGCTTTTGGACTGTAAAATTGGCCGTGCCTTTCTAGTTTTCCTCAGAGTTCCATGATTGTTTGTCAATCGATCGACCGAGCAATGTAATAATTTGCACTTTTGCTTGCACTCAGCAATTAAAGAAATATGCCAAACCGTTGTTGATTGATCAAATCGTGGGGTACGGGGAAAACCCGTTGCATAAATATAATTATATCGGATTTAAATTCAATCAAAAAGTCTGAACACTTTTCATACCACTCATCTTTCACTTTGGTCTTATGACAATTTAATTGCTCATTTGGCATTGCAATTAGATGGGGAGATTTGAGTTTTATTCGGAGTTCGTTTTTTTTTTTGCGAAGTCGAGGAAGTTTTATTGTCAGATTGACCTCAATTTGCGGCTGTCATCAGCAAGGTCGGATCGCCAAAAATAACTTCCATTCGAAGGTCTTCAGCAAAAGTTTTTAGGCATTCAAAAAGGCAACTAAAAAATAAGTATTTGATTCGTTTTTAATTGAGAGGTTTGATGAGACTGCTTGGATGATGGGGCTATTAAATTGTTGAGGAGGCTAAGCTATTATTTGCAAATATTTAAATTGATAATGTGATACAATCCTAATACTTTACATTTTATAAATGAATACCCTAACTATTTACATCTTTATTTCAGTGCATCTGGAACAAGTGCAGTTGCGATTGATAACAAAATCGAACAGGCAATGGTAAGTTCAAATTGAATTATATTTCTAATTGTTTTATCTCAAATACATATAAATACGACCGTCAACTCATAAATTAAACACAAAGACAGAAAAAGTGCGAATGCCAAATTGATAAGAATTCGAAAAAAACATAAAATCGTTAATCTTTATACTGGGCGACAATTGCTACTAAAGTTCTTATCAGGCAAAAAAGGAATAATCAAGGAATACGTCATGGGCTGAGCCTAAAGTGTTTTTGAACTTTTGACCGTGAAAACAGTCGTTGTTTTTTAAGGCAAATGGTGCGTACTTATGTGGATGGTCCATTCTTGATCTCGATTAGGCAAGGTCTCAAGTCTCAGCAACCCATAAATAGCTAGAAGCATGAAAAGCCAATCGAAAAGATTTTCGAGTGGGGCACCATGCTCACAAAAAATGATACAATTCAATCAAGTGGCCCTCCTTCATCATTCTCGGCTATGGACGAGCATGAAGTAAAAATTTAGTTCAATTGAGTTGGCTGCATTTCAATGGAGGATTCTATATTTAGGCACAATTAAAAGACAGTACACAAGACTCAGAAAACAATGAACAATCCCAAGAGATGACAATTGGTTTCGAGTCTTTTTCAATGAACTGAAATGAACTGTGGCGAGAGTTATGAATGGAAAACCATTGATATTCATGGTTTACGGCTATACACAAAGAACAATCGAGTTGTTCTTAAGTGCTGAAATCTAATCGAGCTTGTAATCGATTTTGCAATCAGTCAAAATAAAAGTTTCAATCATTTTAACCAATGGTTTGTTGCTTACAGACAGAGTTGTTGTCAACCCTAATTAAATTTGATTTGTAGATTTGCTATCAGAAATCGATTAAGCATTAGATCTTTCAAGTCCTTTAATGTGATATATGGGAATCATCAGAAGCCATATTTATAAACAATATTATTTATGGGAAAACCATAATTCTAAGAATTCAATGTTTTTTCCACATACTTTGGGTAAACGCAATTTATTTATCTTTTTCAATAAATCATCTCGATGGCGTACTTTTATTATACCAAGTAACGGAGCTAATAGAAAATTCCAAGCGGAACTTGATGACACATTTTGCGTTGTGGCAACTGGCCGCTGCATGTGGTTCGATTTTGCCTTATTTAAAGTCAATCAACTTTTCCTTTTCCACGAAATCCAATTGAGAGACAGTGTCTGCGCCTCTGTTGCAGTTGCAACTTGCCACCCATAATGGTCATTTGGGTCAATTGAATTGCTCTCCCCACTTTCTTTGGGCCGACGCATTTCATTTCGATTCTCTTCTTTTTTCATTTTCTTTTTTAAATTCCTTTCTATCCATCTAGAAACGTTTTCCCTCTTTTTTCACTTTGTGAAAGTATTTTCCCCAAGCGTATACCATTTTCCCTGCACTTTGTGCAACACCCTCTTAACTCTTGTTTGCGACTGAATTTATGCGTTTAATTCTGTTGTTGCTTTTGACCTTGGTGAGGAAAGAAATAAAATAAAATACAATTGTATACGAGACTTTGGGGCTGATATTTTTATGAGCTCCCTTCCCGGCGACGCTTATCAGGCTTTTGTCTTGTTTACAAAATGGCAGACTGTTTTTTCTGCTTATCTCACAACCGCCAGCAAATGCCACACTTCAAATATGCCATAAACTGTTTGCCAATTCAAGAGCAAATAAGGCCAGAAATGTGAGGGAATATAAGAATACAGCGGTATTGTGTTTGCTTTGAGATAATTATTGAAATTACTCAACTCAATCATCGAAATGAAATTGGCTTTGGGACAGCTTTGTATATTTATGTGACACATTGCTAGACAAATCTGCGCCTTTGTTATCTTTTTTACTTTGAGAAGTCTGAATATGACTTTTGTTATTAAGAACAAGTTTATTTTTACTCGCATTACATTTTTCCACAGGTGTAGCCTCAATTTGATTCGGGAAAGTTCTCTAACCCCCAGCAGATGTCGCATATCATTCATATTTTAGGACACTTCCCATTTCTTGATCTGCTTTATTTCATATACACATTATGCATAGTATATAAACTCATTCCGTTCGGTTCAGTTGTCACGTAGTGGACATGAGCACACAGATTGCGGATTACGGACTGCGGATCTTACGGATTCTGGCGTATTCCTTGGCTGACTCAGAAACAAGAGATGATTTTTTTAGTCATTTGTAGCCTACGCCCAACAAAGGCGCGTCAAATAAAATGTAATTTATTTGCAGCAGTCTCTTTGCGACAGTCTTTTCCTGTTTTACAAATGCAAAGTACATAAAAAATTAAACTGAGACGGAAGCGTTTTGCTTCCTTAAACAATCGTTTTTATTGTTGATTTTCCTTTTATCACTTATCAATCAAGGCAAGTGACGTCACGGATTTACGTTCTTTTGCTCATTTCTTGGTTTTTTTGCCCGCCGTATATGGAAGTAAATTAAAATGGTGATAAGTCCCAGAACAGGCGATTGCAGTTCTATGAAGCACAATCTCTAGCCCATATAGTCTATAGACTGGGAATACTTGACAGCCACGCTCCAATTTCCGCGCTAATCATTTGCCTCTTCAATCAACCGTCGATCGATGAAGAAAACAAGTTTTCCTCAAATAGAAACAAACATAACATAAAACTTAGCGCCAATGATTAAGAGTTTCTTTTCGTACCGAGTCTAGTGATAAGGTTTTTAGGTTATACCAATATTAAATAATTGATTTGAACATTAAGAGCGGAGGGTAATATAATACACTTATCAGCTAAAAACGCTAGAGTAGATTCTACTCAAGGTAAGATGTAAGCAAAACCTTGATGGGTTATCGTTGATGATAATTTGAAGGCTTAGCTGGACTTATCGAAAACCTTATGTGTCGATACATTGCCTTTCCATTTGTAATTTCTCTATACAAATATTTATAAAACCCAATTAAAATGCATTTCTCAAGCAGCTTTCGGTTCTTCGTAATTCGAAAATAATAAAGACCCAAAATATCCTAACCAATCCCAACAATCAAAGAAAAAGTTGTGAAAAACAACAAGATAACAATGATAAGTTGATTTGCTAAGACAACTTAATGACTTAATGACATTTATGAAGCTTTATTTCGGCCAATGTGCGGATCGAATGGCTTGACTTTTGTCGAGCCCCTGGCTGGCTGGCTTTATTCCTCAACTTTAATGAAAAACAAAATGCAGAACCCATAAACAAGACCATAAAAAGCATGACAGATAAGATAAAAATAAAGTAAAAAACACATTGGCCTGGTCGGGTTGTGCTGGGTTTTTACCACTCGATTTGTCCGGAGTCTCGTATTTGTGCAAGTGTGGGGAGTTTCAGCTAAGGCGAAGTGGGAAAACAAGCCTAAGAATAATGTTAAATAATTTACTTTTCCTCGACAGCCAGACATCAGCCGATAAGAATAGCAGACAATCGGACGGTTAGGGGAAAGCAACGATATCTGCTGATTGCATAACATAGGCTCAGGAATTGCCAGAAAGGTATCTATAGGATGGGTAAACATCGGCCCAAGTCTGGTTCCAGGTTCCAGGTTATAGGCTGTTTACCTTTGGCACACAAAAGCGTGTTCTGGCCACGTGCCTTTCGGTGGTCTTTCCCTGATCTCTTACATGATCCCAACGGCGCTGGAATCACAGTTGTCCGAAACGATTCATTTACTGGTCTGTCCCAGTATCCATAACCAATGCTCAAGTAGGTACAAGTTATCATTATCCATCTCTGGCTGTATCATGATCTATCGCCCAGTCGGCCTAATTGCATTGACAATGCGCAGCACCGCAATTTTAAAACAATTGACGTCAGAAATCGATACTGTATTGTGGGTCGGTCAGTCAGTTAGTCGGTCGGTCGTTATTTTCTGAGCCCAAACCGTTCGGGCTAATTAGACGTGGCACTACAGCAAAGGCTCCCGCTGAGTCGCCGTTGGCGCTGCGTGTCTATCAGACGATCTAGTCTGGTCTATAGTTTATTACTATGGTTCTGGTGATGGACTCGTGACTCAAGACAATGCACGAAAAACCATCGGATGAAGTAAATCAGTTGGCCTGAAAAGAAACACCACTTTTTTCTCAATTTATATTTTGTTGGGTGCAATTTAAAAGTAAATATGAAGGGTAAGGAAATGAAAAGTTAATCATTTTCATTCGACATTAATCGATAATTATCGATTGCTAATCGGAACTTTTGTAAACTTCAGAAATACGTTAAAACTGTGAGCCCAGTTAAATCAAATAATTATAACATGCCGTTTTCTGTTAAATAACACTTAAATATAAACTGGTACTAACTGTTGCATCATTTACACTAGAACACATTAAAAGCCTTGCATTGGACTTTGTAACAGCCACCGTGCTGACGTCATCTATTCAATCTCAAATTGCGTCACAGCGTGCAGTATCACAATGCCCGGATGATGATCTCTGGGCTATTGAAATGCAGAGAATTCTTTAGAACTTGGAGAAATTTGATTCTGGCCTTTGTTTTTTCTTCCCCCTCCGTCGAGGTCGGCGACTTTCAATTCACGCGAAATGCAAGAACGAAATCGGTGGGAAATCGAGGGAAAATAAGGCAAAAGCAGTGGCACAGAGAAAGGTAATAGGCCAATGAGCTAACATTTCACAAACGGCGATGAGCTCACCCCTCCAACCTCCCACTCCACCAGTAGCGAACTCCTAATGACTCACAAATGCCACAATTTAGCGGGAAAATTTCACTGCAATTAGAGTTCATGCGAGCAAAGTTCCCCGAATAGAACTTTGTGTTTCAGCAACCTTGAAGGCTGAATCCGTGGGTGTTTTGCAATTGGGTGTGAAGTTCGGGTTTTTGTGTGAGAGGTTTTTGTTTGCAACGCGAGCCTAGTTGTGCTAGGTTGAAACGTGTTTCGCCTCTGGCCGCCTGGCTGCCCCCTTCTAAAATCCAAGCTAAACACTCTCAGCCAGACCAGACGTTCAACATTTTATTTATTTTTGTTTTTTTTTCGCAGC